TACAGACTGGTTGGAAGGCACGGCAAATACACTTATCTAGTATGTGCAATACGTTAGCTGATGTTTCCGGTTCAATATTAAGGTAAACGAGCAGACAGAATCTGCCAGAATAATGATAATTCTACGAAATAGAAACAAGGCTTCGATGTCTACGAAATTATTTATCTGATGTCATCCTATTAAAGATCATGACAAGTATTGGATTTTTTTCTCGTTGACAAAACACCAACTTTACGGATATACAACGGGATAATCTGTCCAGTTTAAAAGCACGTAACAGTGGTTTAAGATGCAGCAAATAGCCAGGACATGTGATTCTGAAAAAAAAAAATAGAAACAGATAACATTTGCCGGAAACACACGATTAAGAATTACTTCTAAGCGTAATTTTAGATAACGTAAAACGTTCGCTTATTTTTGAGTACGCAATATAGTTGAGACTGGGGCCTAGAGACAGTATATCGCAAAGCTGTCGTCACCATTTAACTAAATAACTCGATTTTCCCCTCATTTTTGGACTGACTGTAGCATTATTGGAACGCGCGCAAATTTGAACGTTGCCATTATCGTAGTATGTGTTATTTGGCGTGGGCTCAAACAGACTTAAAGTGAACCGTCGAACTTACCGATAGCGGGAATCGCAGCACGCGTATATAGCTCGAGCACGCGAGGATTACGACCGATCGCCTGCCCGCCCGCCCGCCCGCACGCTTGCCCGTGGCCAGAGTACACAGAATGCCAGATATTGTGCCGTTAAGAATAGTAATAGTCATAACAATCATCACAACAATATGATTCAAGTAATTGAATGCCTAAGCTTCAAAAAAAAAGAAGATCATACGGACAAAACGAATCTTGTAATCGTAAATACGTTTACGCCTCAAACCGCAAAATAGACAGCGGCGTGGTTTAAGGGACTCGGTCATACGTAGACTTCACTATAGTAGCATAGTCGTTCTCATTGCATAGTTACTGAGACTCAAGAAAACTGGAACGTAGCAAACCGCCTCAACCCAACCGTATTTGTTGAATCATTGGATGAATGAATCTATTCTTCTAGCTTTTAGTTTGATTCAGGAGCATTCGTTGCTTTGGTGTTCCTGTAAATTTATGGCACCATATGTAGGTAAATATTGGCTATTGTGTTTGTCTATTCTTATTGACACAGACGGAAAAGTTAATAAATAAAGATCATTACGAGATGACGTAATTTTAAGATCAGAACATGCGAAATGTATGCGACCTGCGTTTCCGGTGGTGTTTTATACGAAGCGGCTTTGTATGGGTATCTCTGGTCGGCTTCAAAGATGACAAAAGCGTCCGCCAACTTGCCTTCACTGAAAGCCCCCGACGTTAGACCACGCTGCCATAACTAAGGGGACGACCAACTCTCTGTCCAACAAGCGTACGTCAAATACAACGCCAATGACTTCCCTGATCATACACTTGTTTCTAATCTAACAGTGGTATGCTGTGATAATTCGTTGCAGTCAGTTTGATTTCAGGCAGTATAAGGCTTGGCCAAATGTTTATTCGACAACGGGTCCTGCCACAACGAGGTCAGTGCGTCTAAATCCATTCTATACGGTACACTACACAAAGCTGACAGAAGCTTAGCCTTCGTGACTAATTCATTCCGAACTTTAGACTTTTATATTACTGCTCTGGTTGTTACCGCCCGCAATCGTTGCTCCATACGATCTGCGCTGCCATTAAATTGTTTTCACCATTTCAATTGCCCCAACTGTTTTCTTGTTGCTCTTGCTTCTGACCTTTTTATCATTAACTCTGTGCACGGCCGCCGGTGGATGGACCGAGCGAATCAAAGGAACAGAGTATGATTAGCGAGCCAGCGTTCGCTGATCTGCCGCACAAGCGCCAGGACACCGACCCACAGTGGGGCTCGCGATAGCTTCACTCTAAGTGGTAGCGGTGGGCTGAAGATCGGGTCGTGTCGATAAATGCCCCGTTCGGGATGTCGAGACCATACGGGAAACGACAGCCAAATCAATGCTAGATACGATAGCAGAAATTCGAACTGGTGCAGTTGCCGATGCCACCGAACGGCCGCCTATTTAATGGAACGCTGTGAATGACGTACTGATTGCCGCTCGATCAGCAACCTGCTAGATGCGCTTCTGTACACGGGACGCTACAGGAACGTACATAGATCCGCGCGAAGTTGTTCAGCGCAATCCCGCACCTGTGCCTGTCTCTACCGAGCGACCTGTCAGAGACGGGGCTCGTATAAGCAGAGCAAACAGCACATGGAAGATTCTTATATTTATTCTCATATTTGAACATTTATGGAATTTGCTTTGTTTTATAATAAGCTGTCAAGAGAGAACGATGATATATATTTGAGTCAATGAAGTTGGACAGCTCACAGTAGTAGGTGGCGCTTGTTGAGCTCAATATCAATCCCTCTGAAGGGTATGAGCGAAAGCACTCCCGAATACTTTAGAATTCGTCTGTGTTTCGGAATAGTAGCATAAGGTGCCTCGAGAAATGACAGATTTCACCAACGCGATCTGGACGCTCGCAGTCTCGGAAAGGCGCATCGAAACGGGTGTGCATATCAAGACGTAGTATTGCGCCATGTTTATCAGTGCTCTTTTTTCATTGGTCCAATTCGTGCGGGACCTATTCATGTGTGAACACACAACCTCACTTTTGTCTAAGTATCAGACAGGAAACTCCGCATTGATGCACAGTTGTTTCGTTACAAGCCGGCACATGCACATACCTGATTGATCTGGATCGATGACAATTTCATATAGTCTTTTGGCGCACCGACAAAGATCTGCCGTGTAGTTTGATATCTGTGATCAATCACGAGTGCGGGTCGAGTGACATTATTACGTGGGCAAGTAAGCACGCTTTTGGGCTAACCGATTGTTTTGACTCACCCGATCGGCCGATTGGCGTCGTCGTGAAATGTTGCCGCGGTTGTGACCAGTGGCCATTGGTTCCATTGTATTTACCTTCAGAAAGCACTTACCGATCAAAGCGTGCGAGACACTCCCTGTTGCTAGACGGATTTCTAATAGTGACTCATGGTGTTGTGCTTCTTGTTCCTTCATGCTCAACCGCGTAATTGCGTTAGGTCCGATCTGCTTTGTCAACACTTAAGCTTGTATACTCGTTGCGACAAAACATAAACCGTCCAGTTCCGACGCGTTTTCTTTCGTTCGTTCGTTCGTCATTCTTCCTCTTCGTTAGAAGGTGCGCGATCTCCACGTTGGGCATAAGGATTATCACATCTTTACGATCTGGCGAAGTTATGAGTAACGAGCTGACAATAAAACGGATGCGAAGCGGAGGTGCAGCATCATCTGGCGGTGGCATCACGTCACGCTGGTCTGAGGCGCGCAGTCCCATCAGCCTATGAAGGGTAAACGATGCTTGTAGGGGGTGGGGGGTCTTGCTGCAAGAAGGACGCAGCAACCGTCAGCGTTTTTGGAATGTCTAGCACATAGAGGTGGCTTGAGAGACGCAAATTGCTATTGTTGTTCTAGTTGGCGTAGTCTTCTACGGCGAACATAGATGGCTTGATAAACATTGTCTTGCACCTTTTAGCGGAGCCTCCTGACTCATCGACCTGACATCATTTACATTTAGGTATGACTACAACACTTACTGCTTAAGCTTAAGGTCTCCGGCTAGCTTCTCAGCGCCGTACACTTTATGAGCCTCCCTTCACTTGAACGAGCCGTTGTCACCGATCGGATCACTGTCGTTCGTCAGTTGCCAGCAACCATTCACTCAGCAGCGATGCACCTTTTCCGTACCGTGTCCTAGTGAGCACAGCGCAGTCGCTTCGAGGTCGAGTACTGGCAGAATGGACTCCTGCTCCATGAGCGGCAACAACAGCAGTGGCGCCGGCGTCTATCTGCCAGCAGCACCATCGTCAAAGTCGCGACCGCTGCTCCGCCAGCGCTCGAGTCAGCCACAGGGTGAACTGAAGAAGTAGCAGCGGCGACTCTAGTAGCGCCGAAGAGAACGGGAGAGGCAGCCAGTTTGGGCGACGCACACCAGCGTATCAATAGCCACCGTCACAGCATCCACCCCAGTGTTCGCCAGCACAATCCGACGGCTACTGTCCAGGTTACTGCTACCAGCGTACTAGCGTCGGCTGTGCAACTTGACGTCGTCATAAGTAAGGGAGAAATTCGCTCCGGCAGCGGTCGCAGCAGCGAGCGAGCGAGCGAGCGGGCGGTGGCGTCGTCGAGCGCCTGACGGACAGCCAGAATAGCGAAGGCGAAGTTACTGCGATTTTGTTTCTACAACTGATATCGTTGACTACTGCTGCGCCCCGGTCCAGCTGCCACACTTGAGCTGGTATACTATTGAGGTGTTAGTAACACTGAACCGTTGGCGGTGACGGAGCTTCATCGCTCTCCCTCTCTCTCTCTCCTACGTTGCCCTATTGGCGTGTATGGATATGCTGTAGAGATAGTAATAATTCTAATAAAGCACTACAAGTGTTAGCTTCGTCGCACGGAATGTTCTATTACGTCATTGGTAGTCTATACGAGCGTCAGTTGGGAGACGACGTGAACAAAGACAGCCATCGAAAGACCGAGAGAACGTGATGACCCTACATCGTGCTATGCACATGTGATTAAGGCTAGCTAATAAACGAACAAGAGACGGCGACGCTCGCACGAAACGTGCATCATCTACAATATCTTGAATCGACAAGATCATAGCTTTCATCATCACGCATGTTAAAGCCATTAGAGTGTTTAGTACGTGCAGCGGGTCAGTTAGCTATCGCCGTGCACTACTGGAGCGTGAATACGCCTCCTAGCAGAATGCGAAGTCTATTGCTCTCCTCCGATCGAAATAATCAGCTCCACGGCTTACCATTGACTTCGTCGTTGTTATTGATGGCGCACAGCGAATTAGTGCCTGGTCAGGCATAAACCAGGCTAAACCAGGTAACGTAACAGGCTTCAGCAGCAGTTATGGTAGAAAACGGAATCTGCCATCGCCCTCTAACTGCTACAACTCGATGTTGGAGCTCCTTGGTGGAGCGACGCTGCTGCTGCTGCTGCTGCTGCTGCTGCTGCTGCACTGGTATCGCCTCCGACATCGATGCCGTCGTCATCATTGTCGCTGGCAGGCGTCAAAAGGGCGGTCAAGAAGGCGCCTGCGAACGCTGGTGGGAGAGGCATAACGCGTCGTGGCGGCTCCGCGGCCGAGGCAAAGGCGGCGCCAACTCCAGCGGCCGCCAGTCGCCAGTCGCTCGCGGCTGTAGTAGTCGAGAGACACAATACGGCAGAAAGAAGGAAAAGAAAGGCAGCGAAAAATAAGGCATGGCCGCAGCCACTGGAGGCGCTGGTGTCGCTGCCGGAAGCGGTGGCGCAACGGCAAAAAAATGACCCCGCCCATACATACATCTGCGGAAGGCGATGATGCGGTCTGGTGATGATGATGATGATGGGTGTGCAGTGTGGTTAGAGGCCTGAACCTGTGGTCTGTTGGTGGCTGTACAGTAGAGGCAGAGGTCGTTCACGGTCTATGCATGCGTTGCCAGATCAGGATAGGCCAGATCACATGAGGACAGGGCAGAGCAGGCCATCTTTCTTAGTCGTTTCCTCCCGCTGCTGCTGCTGCTGCTCATTTTAATGATGTCAATGCCGACTGTTTAGATAGTAAGCGACTGCAGCAAAAACAAGGAGAGTGAATCGTTGTTGAAATCACAAAGCAATCAACAATTGAAACAATAAAAGCTACGCAGCGAAATAGAATTAGGCTATAGCGCCTGGCAGGACGCCGCTCAGAGAATAATAACAGTATCAATATAGAGACGATCGATCTGGCTGATTGAACCGCTCGGGAAGCGAGCGTCACAGCGAAGTAACTGTCTAGAATGTTGACCATAACTACACAGATAAAAACATAATAACGAAGCGAATTTAGAAAGTTTGCAGCTTCATAATAGTAAGACTCAATTAGATTCATCTAAAAAGTATGCTTTGATCCATTTTAGAGGAACTTGAAAGAATCTGTAAACAACCGAGCTAGCATTTATGACGACCACGTAATCTAATATATTTCGCATAGCGTCCGCCAGTGCTAAAACATGCGTAGTAAACTGAATAAGCCAACCGTTACGAACTAATTATGACAAAGACCAAAACCTTGGCGTAGAGATATGACGCTTCGACAAAAGAAAAAAAAAACCAAAAATAAAAGCACCTTAAAAGAAGGTAAATTTTTAATCCATCACAAACGTTAGGGTTTTGCTTAAGAATTAAAACACGCGTAACGTGTACTGAAATGATGGCGGTCTGCCTTTCGTGACATGTCCTAAAGGGGCTTTCCAGTACCCCAAATACAACAACAAACGCACGTATATCACAGCTGTCGGTTAACATCATAGCTAACCTGATTAATTAATGAATACTGAAAATAGCGTGCTATCTCAGTTACTGGTATATATAATAAATATAGAAAACAAAAGTATTCCTTTTCCGCTCTGGAAGTTAACAGTAATTATACTGCGGCGCCACATTGCAGCCAGTGACACGTGCTCCTCCCGATCCAATGTGAACGCTGCCATAGATTGAATTATTGATCTCGTGACAAAAGATTTCGAGTATTAATAACGATGTTTTTCCATAGCATCAAGTTATCCATTAGAGCTGAAGCTCCTTAATTCCAATATGCCTTAGTAAGGATTCGATTGGTGCGCTGCATTGGAGTGAGCCCGAAGAAATTCGTTCACTTATGCATGCTTCATTGAAGTAGTATCAAAGTGCCGTGCAGGGAATACCTCTGTGTTCCGAGTTTAGTTAACCTCCCATATTACCATTAGGCTCCCAGCACGAAACGAAGTGTGTCTATGGCCAGATTCGGACCTAGACCACAACGCGTCCTAAGATTTGCAAACAAACCTATAGCAATTTACCGCAATCTGATCGACAAGACCACGTACACAGGATGCTTGAAGAGATTGTGTGACAAACCATTTAAATGTCAGCCAATAGCCATTCAGCGCGGTACGCAAATGTTTACCTGAACACCAAGTGTTGGGACGCACACTATCCTCATCGTTCAGTCAGCACCGAAAATGTGTGCACAACTTGAATTAAGCTACTTTAAATTTTTATTTACATATAATTAACGCTTAAATTAGAAAAAATATACATTACAATTTATGCGACCTTCTCCTATCGCAGATATTCAAATTTCTTCCACTACTAGTCAATAAAAGCTGGTTGATAAAGATGTACTATTTATATACAAATATATATATATATATATATATAAAGGATTCATTTGGTGTCATGACGTACTTTTGTTCGACTGCTAGTTCTAGGTCTTCCAGTGAGATCAAGCATAGACTTTATACCTAAAGTATCTCCCATCCAAGAAGGTCCATTGTCGTCAGGCTTTAGAAACAAGCATTGCATTCTAAGGGGCCTCTTCATTCGCCTAAATGATACCCTTTAGTTTGGATGTAGCTTCATCACTTCACGCAATCATCCCCAAAAACTGATCATCCTGTGCACATCTTGCAAGCACGGTTCGCATAACCTGTCGTCTTAAATTGCGACAGACTCTCGATCATTTGATGCCAAACCCTTTAAAATATATATATATATATATATATATATATATATATATACGTACTATTTTCGCCCGCTGCAAGCCACGTCTGTTTTTATTGCTGTTTCTATATACGTACATTAACTCAATCTGATCGAATCACCAAAAAACGAAGTTTTACGATTGAAGTTGATCCTGTTGTAAATATGTCTAGGCAGGCACCCGCATATTTAAGGTTCGAGGAGTTATTGATAGGAAATCGGGGGTTTCACATTTATGAAGTATTAGCATCACTCATATGCGGCCACCATACACGATGGCAACAAATGATCGATGATAAATACACACGGCTATGCTGCTCCTGACGCTGGTAGTGTAAACAATTTTAATAACACTGCCGAGTGGTAGAGGAAGGCTCTACCACACACACTGTATCAACAGCAATGTGCTAATCTTTGACGTCAACGTTTAGCGTCTGTTGGCAACGAGGCGACCCCTCGTCGACCCGTTCTAAATAACAATTTTCAATATTATAGGTGACTGCAAAGCAGACTCACTCGTCCGGTGTGCCCTCTGCGTATCCACGATGCTATATTTCATTTGTCTGATGGCCATCTTCAGAAGCTGTAGCATATGTTTTTAGACGGGATTAGACGAGGTGAATTCTTCTCCAGGGAAATAAAGCTTCATTTCGGGTCTACTTAATGCTCGATGGAAGCGACCGTCAACGTCTGCTAACAACAAACAACGATGACCAATTTTGCCTAGCTTCATGAAAATCTGATAAAATGATTGTCAAATTTTTTGTAAGGGGCATGGTGGGTGTGTCTGTGGAGCCGACCCAGATAGGTTCACAGACAGCACAAAAATATAGGCAAAACTAATGGCTAGACTGTACTAATTACAGTATCTATTGTAGTAGGTCCGAACTAGCCATAGGCTATCAGACAGAGTCAGTGACCCAGATCACTAATTAGAATTTCAAACTAAAATATTTAAAACGGTAGAGTACCCCAAAAGCGTTGCCACTTCACATATAAGGCTGTAGGAATAATCTAACACGTACTGTTTTCATAGGTGCATAGCTAGGATCAATGAATTCAATTTTTCAATACGGAACCTAACAAAAGTATAAAGCGTAAACAGAATATACAACGTTACATCCGGCCTCAATAAGTAAAATGTACTGTGAACTTCTAAGAGAAATCAAACTTTTCATTTTCCATTTCCAATGTGAACACAAGATCGTATTTAGCGAACCGTTCCGCAACTCTACGGCCGCACGCTAAAACAACTGGTAAGTTATAAATGAAAGGCACAAATGTTCTAGTATTCATCGGTGTGTTTGGCTGTAATGAATTTGCGGCACGGGAACAATTTGTCTAAATGCGACTGCTTGCAGATATATATTGAAATGTTGTCGTATTTTTAGAGGAAATTTTACAGCATTGGAGCGTAGCAGGTCACACGTTTCATTAGCACCTAAATTTGTACAAGCCGGCTTCGTCTCTGTGCTTGAGTAACTCCAAGTTCCAACTTGCTTGCAGAAACAAGTTTGTTGTCAAGCTGGGATTGGCAATATTACAGAACAATGTCTTAAGACTATGCAGATCTCTATTGGGGACATTCTCTGAAGGGAAGGTCTGCTCACCATCCGCAGGTTCTAGTGACAGTCTTCTGGTATCCATTGGTCGTCTTCTCAGCCTGCTTAAATAGACCATCAAGCATCGGTAACAGGGGTAATCCGAAGCCTATCATCATAATCGATTACTCAATACTGCGTCTGTTGGAGGGCCTATAGTGAATCTGTTGCGATCTAGTACAAAACGCAGTGAACGGTTTTCGGTTTGATACAAGGGTGTGTCAGAAATGGATTATAGACAATCGACCATGTCTGATCTGCACGTCGAAGACGTTTTAAAGACAACTACCTATTCGACTTGTATCGTAAACCTGCAAGACAAGTGCATTTTTATAACAGACCTCTTCAGAGGACAACGTCTGAACCTATTGGACTTCACACGACCGCATATCTTCGTATGATCGGTAATTTAGATAAATTCCGCCAGATCAAAGGGCTCTCTTTTGTTTGAATACACAGAGATTATTGTCTATGTTCGGTAGCAATACGTACCTGCTATTCGGCTTAGATAGCTTGTACTAGATCATGTTTCGATACCCGTATGGTTACTTGTTTGTACTGATCGTAGTCCTGTCATGTTCACTTGACAGTGCCTCATTTTAGCTTCCTTTTAAATTTCATTATTTCCAAAAAGGCTTGCCCTCGGCGCACGAGGGCGCTAAGAAGCCGTAGCAGTGTGTAGAACTGGGATTATATCTCCTCGGTCACTTGAACCGATAAGTTTCTTCTTAATTTCAACCAGCACTCACAGAAATGTTTATTTTCAGTCAGCGGCAGCCACCAATAATGTCAACAGTCCTTAGCCAAACTAGGTAGCTAGTCCCAAAGACGGACCTGAGAAACTTGCGGAGTTAACTGAATCATGGATGCTGGCCTCGGTCACTGTGAAGTCGGTAAATATATCAGTGACTCCTTGCAAATGTGACCAACGTGCCACATGTCCTGCAAAGCGTTACAGGCGCATTGAGAGTTTTACGTTAGCCGACTTTTAGGCCGGACAATACGTCACACAATAGATCACAACAGCAATATAGACACGACAAAGGGATGAAATAGTCCAATACAACAGCGGTCAGATTACGAAATTTCCTTTTAGAAGTACGAATGCTCTAGGATATTTTCTCCTCTCGATTGTCCTGAAACGACTTTAGCATTTAAATACGAGCGAAAATTATAAACGTAGTGCGATTCGAGCCTGTCTTTTTCAACTTTACTGCTGACAATGTTGGTGGGTTATAAGACTCCCGCTATAGAATATCGTCAGATTTGTCGTCGTTGTATTTTTATTAGTAGATTGTATATGTTTTACTTTACGTGTCATG